TCCTCCTCCCTGTGGCTTCCTCTCACATATTGATACATGGCTATCATCATATCCCCTCTCAGCCTTCTCATTTCCAGGCTAAACATGCCCAGTTCCCTAAGCCGCTCCTCATAGGGCTTGTTCTCCAGACCCTTGATCATTTTAGTCGCCCTCCTCTGGACACATTCCAGCTTGTCAATATCTCTCTTGAATTGTGGTGCCCAGAATTGGACACAATATTCCAGGTGTGGTCTAACCAAGGCAGGATAGAGCATGGGGAGCAGGACTTCCTTAGATCTAGACACTAGGCTCCTCTTGATGCAGGCCAGAATCCCATTGGCATTTTTTGCCGCCACATCACATTCCTGGCTCATGTTCACCTTCCTCCCCACGAGGACTCCAAGATCTTTTTCACACGTACTGCAGGGCAAGGCAACATTAGGAGGAGGAGGAGGAGGATGTGGCCCCAGAGTGTGAACGGTTGCTCTGTCCTGTGTGAGAAGGGCCAACAAGTCTCAGCAGCACAAAGATGGACCCCACGGGGACCCCACTGGTGCCTACGTTCCTGCATAGCCCAGGGTTGAGTCAGAGAGGGAGACCAGTCACAAACGCAACAGCACAACCTGCAACCGGACAACGCCACATGGTCTGCTTGGATTTCATTGATCCTTCCTGACAACCCCAATCACCAATGGCCCCCAAACACAGGCAGCAGCCCCCACCAGGCCTGAAACCCACAATGATGAGGATTTATTTATTTATTTATTTATTTATTTACAGTATTGATATTCCGCCCTTCTCCTCACCCCGCAGGGGACTCAGGGCGGATTACAATGTACATCTATATATATAAAAATGCTCATGTCGTAATTAGTGGCTTAAAAACAAAAGAACCAATGAATGAAATCACACCAAATTTGGCAACAAAACATCTCACTACACAAGAAGTGACCATCACTCAAAAAATTATGATTTTGTCATTTGGGAGTTGTAGTTGCTGGGATTTATAGTTCGCCTACAATCAAAGACCATTCTGAACCATCAACGATGGAACCAAACTTGGCACACAGAACTCCCATGACCACCAGAAAATACTAAAAGGGTTTGATGGGCATTGACCTTGAATTTTGGAATTGTAATTCACCTACATCTAGAGAGCATTGTGGACTCAAACAATGATGGATCTGGACCAAACTTGGCACAAGCACTCAATACACCCAAATATAAACAAAGATGGAGTTTGGGGAAAATAGACCTTGACATTTGGGAGTTGTAGTTACTGGGATTTATAGTTCACCTACAATCAAAGAGTTTTCTGAACCCCACGAACGACAGAATTGGGACAAACCTCCCACACAGAACCCCCATGACCAACAGAAAATACTTAAGGCCATCCAATCCAACTCCCTTCATCAGGGCAAGAAAACGTAATCAAAGCCTTCCTGACAGAGAGCCATCCAGCCATAGATATAGAGAGAGATATATGACACACACACAGAGAGATATAGTATCATAGATTTGAAAGGAACCCCTAAACAAGGACAATTCTATGTTGCGTGCTCCAGAGTAGGCCGACCAGACAATCTCTACATCAACACAAACATAAAGGAATTACACATATTAGAAACCAACACTTTCTCATTACTTCATTTTCCAGATCACCAAACTGGGCCACAGCAACGCGTGGCAGGGGAAAGCTAGTAATATACAAGGCAAACATTCAATGCCAATTGGACACACAACATAGAGAGACAGGCAATCAGAGGCTATTAACTTTCCAGCTTCTGGCCACCAGGGGAGCTGTTGCTTCCTCATTCTTTGCATACTTCCTGGAGATTTTTTATGGCCTCGTAAATCAGTTAATTTAGCCTCCCCACAAAGTGGTACCTAATTTTCCTACTTGACAGATGCAACTGTCTTTCGGGTTCCAAAGGTCAACAACAAGCTGCACAATTTTGGTTGGGAGCTCACTCCGACCCGGGCTGGCTTCGAACTCATGATCTTTCGGTCTGTAGTGATCTTAATGCAGTTGACCCCCAGCCAGCTGTGCCACAGTCCCAGATGCAGGTGCACAGCTTGCCTTCCAATGACAGAATCCTTGAGGGAGGCTGACGAGACCTCCAGGGGCCATCCAGTCCAACCTCCTCCTTTCTGCCAGGCAGGAAGGCACAACCCAAGCCCTCCCAACAGACACCCACCCTGCCTCCGTTTATCAACCTCCGCAGAAGGAGACCCAACAGACTCCCTGGCAGATGATACTCATTCCACCAGAGAAGATGACCATAGACGCAGACTGCAGCCAGGAAATTAGAAGATGTTTCCTTCTTGAGAGAAGAGCAAGGACCCTTCTCAATCAAATAGTGAACATGGGCAATGAAGGTCCACATAGTCAAAGCCATGGTCTTCCCCGTAGTCACCTACAGATGTGAGAGCTGGACCACAAGTAAGACTGAGCGAAGGAAGATCGGTGCTTTTGAGCTGTGGTGTTGGAGGAAAGTGCTGAGAGTGCCTTGGACTGCGAGAAGATCCAACCAGTCCATCCTCCAGGAAAGAAAGCCCGACTGCTCACTGGAGGGAAGGAGATGAGAGGCCAACATAGAATCATAGAATCAAAGAGTTGGAAGAGACCTCCTGGGCCATCATGCAGTCCAACCCCATTCTGCCAAGAAGCAGGAATATTGCATTCAAATCACCCCTGACAGATGGCCATCCAGCCTCTGTTTAAAAGCTTCCAAAGAAGGAGCCTCCACCACACTCCGGGGCAGAGAGTTCCACTGCTGAACGGCTCTCACAGTCAGGAAGTTCTTCCTAATGTTCAGATGGAATCTCCTTTCTTGTAGTTTGAAGCCATTGTTCCATTGCGTCCTAGTCTCCAGGGAAGCAGAAAAGCTTGCTCCCTCCTCCCTGTGACTTCCTCTCACATATTTATACATGGCTATCATATCTCCTCTCAGCCTTCTCTTCTTCAGGCTAAACATGCCCAGCTCCTTAAGCCGCTCCTCATAGGGCTTGTTCTCCAGACCCTTGATCATTTGAGTCGCCCTCCTCTGGACACATTCCAGCTTGTCAATATCTCTCTTGAATTGTGGTGCCCAGAATTGGACACAATATTCCAGATGTGGTCTAACCAAAGCAGAATAGAGGGGTAGCATTACTTTATTCTGTTTTGGTTAGACCACATCTGGAATATTGTGTCCAATTCTGGGCACCACAATTCAAGAGAGATATTGACAAGCTGGAATGTGTCCAGAGAAGATCATGAGAACATCATGAGAAGGTAGGAGACCTTGGAGAAGAGAATGATGGTGAGGAAAAGGGAAGGAAAAACGAAGAGGGGTTGACCAAGGATACAAGATGGAGGGATGGCATCCTTGAAATAACTGGCTTGACTCTGAAGGAGACCCTGGGGGTGGTCATGGAGCTCTGGCCTGGGATGGTCCAGGAGGTCACCAAGAGTTGGAAGCGATTGAATTAATAAACAACAACAAAGAGTTGGAAGGGAGGGACCCCCAAAGGAAATCCAGTCCACCCCCTTGTACCAGGCAGAAAGGCACCATCAAAGCCCTCCTGACAGATGGCCATCCAGCTTCAGATTCATAACTTGCGGAGAAGGAGACTCCACTGGACTCCAAAGCAGCACATTCCATCATTGAACGCTTCTCACTGTTAGGGTCTTCTTCCTGACATTTGAATCCATGGCTCCAAAACTACAAATCCCAGGCGGCCACAAGAAGATGAAGCCAGAGAATCCTTAAAGTGGAACTGTGTCGTGTTCAAAAGGCCCAGAGACATGGCCACGCCCACGCCCCATTGCTCTCGTTAGTGAATTAGCATTATTCTTTGCATTCGACCACAGAGAGATGAGAATTAAAAATTCACAAAATGTGCCGTTTGGACCGGAGGACCCGCTCGGCGAAATGCACCTGAAGCTTCAGGTTTCAAAACAAATCCCTCTAAGAGCCCTTGGGTGGGCACAAGAAATAACAACAACAACAACAACAATTTACCCACCTCTCCTCACAGGTTGAGATGGGGCACAACGCAGCCAAAACACGCCAAACTAAAATACATACATACAACAAAAACACATCTGTCAAAGCCCACGTCTGCAAAATGTTGACACCCAAACACATGGTACACAGATCAAAACACAGCAGAAAGAGGACACAAATACAAAACCCACGGGCCAAAGAGAAACCATGGCTATTAATTGTTATTAAACGTAGAAGTGTGGTTGTATAGTATCACGGAAGGGAGTAGAGCAGGCCTGGGCCAACTTGGGCCCTCCCTCCTTCCCTCCAGGGTTTTGAGCTTCAACTCCCAGGATTCCTCACAGTCTCGAGCCCCTTCCTTTCCCTTTCCCTTTCCCTTTCCCTTTCCCTTTCCCTTTCCAGCTTAAGTGGCTGAGGGGGAAAAGGAAGGGGCCTGAAGCTGTGAGGAATGGTGGGAGTTGTAGTCCAAACCCCCTGGAGTTATGGAGGGCCCAAGTTGGCCCATCCCTGGAGTAGACAAGCAGATCCACACCTAAAGCACTGAATGCAATTGCCTCCTTTTTGTATTTGAGAATCCTAGAATCCTAGAGTTGGAAGAGACCTCATGGGCCATCCAGCCCAACCCCATTCTGCCAAGAAGCAGGTTTGCAGGTTCACCTGCAAACCTTCAGCGGCATCCCACTCGCTCCTCTCTTGCTCTTCTGTCTCAGCAGAAGCCCAAAAGCCTGGCTTGCTTCTCAACAGGTGGGCATGAAGGGCAGCCTGGCTCAGGTAGCCTTCCCGGCTATGCGCCTATCGGTCCCACCCAGAAGTCATTAGTGGCACAGGTTCAAGTTCTGTCTTTAAAGCAGAGCTACACTGAATTTCTAAAAGACGATCCTTCTCCGGTGCAGATCTTTCAGAAAAAAACATTTCTTAAGGTTTGGAAGGTTTCCCATTCGCTGGAGCATGGCCCCCAGGTGAGAGCAGGGGGAGGGGGAGAGAGAGAGTACTCCCACCTGCCCAGGGCATGTTCCCACCTTGGCTTACCTTTCAGGTGCTTCTTGCGTGGTTTCAGCTCAAAGTGGGGCATGGTGGCCGCTCGCCCCTTTGGCCGTGGGATCCCGGGGAGGCTCTCCTGCGGAATGGAAGAGAGGGAGAGCGTGAGATGAGAGGCGAGAGGAGAGGGGTCTTTGGAAGGGGCTGAGCCTGCTCAGGTGGCTCCCTTCCCCCAGGAAGCAGGGGACACGGTTCAGGTGGCAGGTCCAATTACCAGAGGATGGTCGTTGCCAGCCAGCCTTCCTGCCTGCCTTCTCCCCTTCCCTCCCTTCTCTCCTTCCTTCCTTTCCACTTCCCTTTCTCCTCCCTTCCTTCCTTGCTTTTTTTTTTTTCTTTCTCCCTTCCTTCTTCCTTCCTTCCTTCCTTCCTTCTTCCTTCCTCCTTCCTTCCTCCTTCCTTCTTCTCTTCCTTCCTTCCTCTTCCTTCTTCCTTTCCTTCCCTCTCCTTATCTCCTTCCTTCCTTTGTTCTCCCTCCTTTCCTTCTCCTTCCTTCCTTCCTTTCCTCTCCCCTCCTTCCTTTCCTTCCTCTCTTCCTTCCTCCTTCCCTCTTTTCCCTTCCTTTCTTCCTTCCTCTTCCTTCCTTCCTTTTCTTCCTCTTCTCTCCCTCCTCCCTCCCTTCTTTCCTTCTTCCTCCTTTCCTTTCCTTCTCCTTTTCTCCTTCCTTTCCTTCCTTCTTCCTCTTCCTTCCTTCTTCCCTTCCTTTCTCTCTTCCCTTCCTTCCTTCCTTCCTTCTCTCTCTCTCTTCCTTCCTTTTCCTCCCTCCCTCTCCTTCCCTCCCTCCCTTCTTTACTTCCTCTATATCTTCCCGAAGGGGACTCAGGGCAGAGCACAACATACACACAGCAAACATTCAATGCCGGGACATAAAGAGACTTTACACCTACACAAGCATTAAAATAATTTATCTCTACATTAACATCTACTGTTTGGAACCGTCTCCATCATCTGCATCAAACCCAGTCGGTATGGTCAGGTTTCCTGGTCTTGCCCCCTTGCCCTGTCCCAAAGGCTTGGCCCCACAGCCGTATCTTGACCATCCCTCTGAAGGACAGGCGGGGGGGGGGGGGGAGGGAGGGAGTCCCATAGCCATCACTGGTTTTCCTGTTTTAATTAATGCTATATGTATTGGTTTTAATGACTTTTTGGTATTTGATTGTGTTACATTATTGTAATTGTGCTGTAGCGGTCTTGCACCATTACTAATATAATATGGGGGTAGAGAAGAGACGGGGTACAAAGGCCAGAAATACATAAATAAATAAATAAAGGAAGGAAGGAAGCCCCCCCACCCACCCCACCCCTCTCGTCCCTGCCAAACATGCCTATGACACAGGCAGGACGGAGAGCAGGGCCTGGGAACAACGGGAGAACAATGTTCTTGGGTTCTACACGCCTGTTCCTCTTGGCTTTGACCATAACAACATGGGGAAAGTGGGTTACATGGCAAAACCTTTGTTTGTGTGCCACAAACGCCATTCAACGTGGGGAGGACGAAGTGTCTCTGGCCAGGAGACAGTTTTCGGCCTCTCGTCAACGGCTGCCATGTTTTTAGGATACAGCCAAACAAGAATGATGTGTACAATCCGGGAACAGACCAACATAAAAAAAAATCCCATGTTTTCTGAATGTAGGGACATTCAAAGATTTGAATAGCTGCATTTTCCAGCCAGAACCAGGCTATTCCCATACCTGAAAATCTCACGTTTTTTGGCCTTTGCAGCAGTTGCTCCCACATTTTCTGGGAACGTCTACTTGGAAGCAGGAGGTCCTGGGAGAAAGGGACTGCCCGGACGGGCCCTAAGTGACCACCAGGGTGGGGAGGGGTCTGGCTCAGGCCCTCCAAAATAGAGGCAGGGGTCACAAGGCCCGTTCCCTCTTGGCTCCAAGGTCCTGAGAAGGACTGGGATTGGACAGGAGCTGACCACAGGCTCAGTGCCCTGCCCAGTTTGGCCCTGGACAGAATGGTGCCCTTGGTGTGACCCCGCAGAGGGCACGAAGGGGCTGAAGGAGGTGAGAGAGAGGTAAGCGAAACCCTGCCACCGCCAGCACTTCTCCCGTGGCACACACGCAGAGGCGCCGGCCACCGGAGAAGGGGGATCAATGGCTGGATCTGGGACAGGGATCGCCACCGGCGTAACGGGAGACTCGGGGCTGCCTTTCATTAAAGAGGGAGGGTCCCTGCTCCCCCCACCCCACTCACCCACCCATGACACAACACGCAAACTACAATGTCTAAGGAAATGACATCTCCCATCGTCTGTATTTACTCCAATCTCATGCTCACCTTCTTTGGGCTAAATTACCTTTCCCCAAATTAGGGTGTGCATTAGATTTGCACAATGTGGTCATCTTAGTGTTGAAGGGAAGCTGCTCCAGGAGCATCTGGAGATCCTCTCTGAGGAACGTCATCCCTAATTGAACGGCCATGAGTCAACGCTGTGCGGTCCTGGGACTTGTTGTTTGGTGAGGCAGACCCCATGACCCCGCAGCATTGAGCCAGCGCAGCTCAAGTGGAGTCATTCTATAGCATGGATCAGGCATTGGCCAACTTGGGCCTTCCCTCCAAGTGTTTTGGACTCCAACTCCCACCGTTCCTAGCAGCCTCAGGCCCCTTCCTTTCCCCTCCTCGGTCGCTTAAGCTCTCTGCTTGAGCGGTGATGGCACGATCGTCAGTATAGATGGAATTCTCCCTAAGGAAGAAATAGATCAACTTTGCCCCTCCCTCCAGGTGTTTTGGACTCCAACTCCCACCATTCCTCACACCCTCAGGCCCTTTCCTTTTCCCCCTCAGCCGCTTAAGCGGCTGAGGGGGAAAAGGAAGGGGCCTGAGTGTGTGAGGAATGGTGGAAGTTGGAGTCCAAAACATCTGGAGGGCCCAAGTTGGTCCATGCTCTCTAGACACCTATTAAGGCAGGCTTTCTTAGCTGCCACATCTCCCATTGCACCAAGTGCTGCCCCATGTGGCCCCTGCAATGTTGCTGTACTGCAGTTCCCAGCATTCTGCACCGCTGAGTAGCAATGAGAGTGGCAGTCTAATCCCAACCAGTTGCACTTTTCCGACACTTTCTTGGCTCCAAAGTGAGTCTCGACGTCCCTCCGGATTATGAGAGCCAGCTGTACCAGGCCAGGGGTCCAGTCAGGGCCCGAGCCAAGACCCATCCTGGCAAGACCGTGCAAGGTCCTTCCACCCATGGTTGCAAGCAGAGTTGGAGGGGGACTCACCCCTGGAGCCTTCTTGTTGCAGGCAGGGCCAAAGGGGCCCCTCCTTGCCCTGGGCAGGGCCCCTTCCTTCCTTCCTCTCTCCTGGGCACCAAGGGGCCCCCCTTCCAAAGAGAGAGGGCCAAAGGGAAGGAAGCTCCTCCACTGCTGCAGATGCAGGAAGTCCTTTCAGGGAGCAGGCGAAGAAGGAGGTGGGAAGGAAAGAAGGAAGAAAGGAAGGAAGGGAGTGTTGCCACCCAGCCTTGCCTTGGGGCACCTCCGGCTCCTCGAATGCAAGTGCCTGCAGAGCTCCTGGAAGAGGAACACAAGCCAAGCCTCCCTGCTGACAACTTTGGTTCCGCCTCCTCCTGCCTCACCCAAAGCAGAAGGTGCCTCTGGAAAGGCACGTTTAGGACCAAAAGTGGAGTGTCCCCCCCTGCAAAAGAGCCGCTTTCAGGATGCAGGCCCAGGAGAGGGTCTTTGGGGTGCACAATCCCACTCCTGCTGCACACAGGAAGCCTGGGAGCACCTTTGAGAAGGTGGCATGGTTGGGAACACAATGTTTTGCAGCCGAGTCTCCTTCCTGAGATGCCGGGTTGTTGTTTATTTGTTCAGTTGCTTCTGACTCTTGATGACCTTGTGGACCATCCCAAGTCAGAGCTCCCCTTCGGCCGTCACTGCCCGCAGCTCCTTCAGGGTCAATCCAGTCTCTTCAAGGATCCCATCCCTCCACCTTGCCCTTTCTTTTTCCTTCCCTTCTCCCCAGCATCATTGTCTTCTCCAAGCTTTCCTGTCAACAATGATTGTTGTTCTTT